TCAATTAATCCTTTCTTGCACAACAATGGTGAAACTTTATTCACAAGTATCACTTCAAATATAAAAAAACAATAAAAAACAAAGTAGACTAAATTGTCAGAAGGCTCTCTTAGTCTTCCCCTATTTTAAGAAATGATCAAAGTTCCATATTTTTGAAACATATCAAAGCTGTCTGTTTCTTCTAAAATTGAATGTAATTCTGGAAGTTTGTAAGCAATAAAACCTTCAATATATAAAAGTCCTTGATTGCATTCATTTGGCAACTAATCCTCACAATTTTCACATATTGACATAATAAACTCCACATCAAGTTCACACTTATCACAGTGGTGGTGAGCAGGAGGAAATATTGTAAAATCTGTATGCTTGTCTAGCAACTTTCTAGTTTTGTCGATTCTAAATTTTTGAATAACATTTTGCACAGTTATCAGATATGTGCCACCTGACCCTTGCCAATATTTCCTAAACTGTTTTTCTAGTGCATCTGATTGCATATGTCCTAACAGTACATAAGATACACCGCAATTCAACAAATACTTGGCACAGCTTGCTAATCTTTTAGAAGTTTTTTGCAAAGCACTTGCAGTATCCATTGTTAACTTTTTCTCTCTTAATTTTAAATTTACGCATTTCAAATTTTCAGCAAAATACGAAATATAGTTCTCTAAGAAATCTATTTGCCAATCATTAACTGAAGTAATAGGCTTTCTTCGAATATCATTTAATCTAATATCTAGACCTTTTGCTTTACTGTTGACAATAAGCCATCACTTAACAACTGTTTCAATAAAAAGTGCAGTATCCTCAGCTTCAGGAAATTTTACATGTAATGCTGCAACTGTTTCATCACAAAAAACTTTAAGAACTAATCCAACATTTTGTTGTTCAATTGGTTTTGGTGACACAGCTTTTTGTGTTAAGGGTGACAACTTAACTATTCGACTATCTGCAGCATGAAGTTGGATTATAAATTTCCATTCTGCAAGTCACACAGTATCGTTATCATTTAGCAATCTATATTTTAAACATTGTAATTTTTCAGTGATCCAATTATTTCGAATACATTTTAAAATATGCACAGTGTCATTTAAAAGATAGTATGCTGGAACTTTTTTTGCATTAAAATATTGAAATGTTTTTTGGTTTACTCGACAGTTATCCATTATTAACCCAAGAGGCTTTCCACCTGCAATTATGATTTGTTGATTTAATTCTTCTATCACGTTTGTTTGAAAATTTGTTGTAACTTTACAAACTGGAAAAACTTTTATAACAAGTCGTGGGCCACCAAAAAGACAAAGGAGCATAGTGCTAATGGTGTATTGTTTGTTTTATTTAATAAAGCTACTTGATGCCTAATATAACTTGCTCACTTAGAATCTGTTTCATTATTAATAACATAACTAACAGCATTCTCCAGTTAAGAATAATATTTAATAACTCCTTTGTTTAAAAAAGACAGTTTAATTTGTAAAAGTTGGCTATATCCAGTAAAATAAATATCTCCAGAATCTTCTAAAGTTATATATATTGAAAACTTAGGTACTGGTCCACAATGTTCATATGATATTAAAGATATATTTTTTTCTTTTTCAACAAAATAAAATTTTTCTTAACAGTAATTTATTATTGACTTCAAATTTTTTACAGTTGTATTAAATTGAATAACGTCCATTTTTTTTGAAGTTTTTCGAAACTCATCAGGTAAATTATTTCTTTCAGAGCATATCAACCCAGTCATATCAACCCAGTGAAATCTCGTTTTCTAGACACTATTGGAATACAAGACACTGGTATACCTTTAAAGACTGATGGAGGATGCACTGGAACAAAACTACCACCTTTGACTTTTTTTAATTCTGCATCTTTAGGCCAGTGCTGAGCACAAATTCGCTTATAATCTGTAAACACAAAGTTTGCATTTTGAAGTACTCCATAACTCGCGATCCTCGGATTTAAAGGAGACATTGTGACATTATCTTTTACTTTTGTTTGTAATTTGAGGAGCAACCATAAACGCAGCATTTATTAGGCATTTTACGAGTTTAACTATTATAGTTTAAATCAAACAACCAAAATCCTCATTGAAACTATACTTCTCTGTAAAAAAATCGGCCTTCGCTAATTTTACGGAAAATGAGCTGTCGCGGCCTGTTTAAGAAGGCCTTGATATGTATATATATATATATATATATATATATATATATATATATATATATATATATATATATATATATATATATATATATATATATATATATATATATATATATATATATTAGGGCCCTGCGAAGCTTTGAAATTTCGAATCGAATTGAATCAAAAATACGATTTGAGATACGGTTTAAAAATTTTAAAAAATCGAATCCTTACTTATTTTGTTTTTGCTGTGATTATTTTAGATATTCTGCTCTTAGGTGCAATCAAAACAACGTTACTTATCCTTGAATACCTTTTTATTCAGTCATTAAAAATGATAAACAGGGCAAAAAGCACTAATAAAGAGATTATACAATTGTTTTATTTTATTTTATTTTGAAATATATATTATTAAATATAAAATGCTTAAATTTAGACTTCGAAATGTTGATTCGAAACGTGATTCAAATCGCGAATCAAGACCTGCTTTGATTCAAGATTCTATTTGAAACAAAAACTGCTGATTCGCAAGGCCCTAATATATGTATATATATATATATATATATATATATATATATATATATATATATATATATATATATATATATATATATATATATATGTATATATATATATTCACACACACACACACAGGGATGTCCTGATCAGGGGGTGTGGGGGTAACCCACCATTTTTTTTTTGTCTTCAGTTGGAAAAAAACACATACAACACCCCCTTCCCCATGAAGGACCTCTTCAGGATTTTAAGTTTCATGCTGTTGCAATCATCAGGTGAAATACAAATAAAGTTTGTTCGTTTAAAAAAAATTATATACAATTGATATAAAGAAAAAACCTATATGGAAAAAACTTTTTTTATTGTTAAGACTGCATGTATCTAATCTTGAGGTTTGTGGTTGCTTAATAGAAATTTATTTTTGTGACGACACTTGGAAATGTTTTTTTATTGAGTAGCTCTTCAGCATTTTTATAAAGTAAAATAATCAGTTTTTCATATAAACATAGTAAACATTTTTTTGTTGTATTATTGTAAGCAGGGGCTTTTTTTAATTCTGGTGTTTCTTTCAGTTATTCTTTAGTTTCTCATATATGTTTTGAGAGAGTGGTTGCATTTGAAAGTTTCTTATTTGAAAATGATTGCTTGTGGTTTGCATACCTCTTTTTCCACAATCCTTTTGATAAAGCAATGTATGCTTTGCTGGGTTTGTTTGGGGAAGATGCTATACATTTGTAAATGATGTTTGTTGTTCTACAATTTTTATTCAGCGGGCAGATTGCTTTTTGTTTGCAATTGCAAGGGAGATTTTCATTGGTGTTAAATTTATTAAATTTATTTTTTTGTTGTGGCTTTTTATAATTTTTAATTTTTGTTTGAGCAGGTGTAGAAAATTTTTGTAGTGTTTCATTTGAATAGTTTATATAATGGGTTTGAAGGTGGGAAATGTTTATCTATTAATTGAAAAAAGATTTGGCCAACATTGGTGGAGACGCTTTTATTGTAGGGTGGGTTAAACCAAATTATATACCTTTTTTCTTTTTGGAGGTGTCTTATTTTTTGGGTTGTACTTTAAATTAAAGTTTTTAAAACCGCTTTGTTTAAGTGCTTTTTCGTATTTTGTTTTTGAAGCGTTAATTATTTTTTGATTGGAAGAATTTTGCGATAATCGATTATTAATGGAGAGAGGGATCTGCATAAGTACTTGGGGCGGGTGGTTTGATTCGGTGTGGATGTATAGCAGTTGCTCATTTTGTTTTTTAAAAGGTTGGTAGGAGTTTTTTCAAAGATTAAAAGTTACATCAAGAAAACTAACACTGTTTAAATTGGTTTGAATTTCTATTTGAAATCCGATCTTTTTAAATATCTCAATTATATTTTTTCTGACTTGTGCGGTAAGTTTTTTTGCGTATCACCATCAATCCGTTATCTCGATAAAGACCTATATCATTTTTAGTAATGGTTTTGGATAAAGAGTCTAGAATGTATAAAACCACCAGTTCACATACTTCGACTCCATCAAAACAACCCATTGTGACGTCAAAAGAATCATTATACATCTTTTTTATCCATGTTTCCTTTTTAAAAAAGCCCCCGCCTACAACAATACTACAAAAAAATGTTTACTATGTTTATATGAAAAACTGATTATTTTACTTTACAAAAATGCTAAAGAGCTACTCAATAAAAAAACATTTCCAAGTGTCGTCACAAAAATAAATTTCTATTAAGCAACCACCAACCTGAAGATTAGATACACGCGGTCATAACAATAAAAAAAGTTTTTTCCGTATAGGTTTTTTCTGTATTTCAATTGTATATAATTTTTTTTAAACGAACAAACTATATTTGTATTTCACCTGATGATTGCAACAGCATGAAACTTAAAGTTGTGAAAATCAATTAGTTTTAATTTCTACTATATATATTATAGCTCTGACTTAGTTTATCGAGCACTTTCTTGATAGTATATGCACGAAATATCATCACTATATATATATATATATATATATATATATATATACTATATATATATATATATATATATATATATATATATATATATATATATATATATATATATATATATATATATATATATATATATATATATATATATATATATGTATGTGTATACATGTATTAAAATGTATATAAGCATTCATAATATTACATATTAATAGTATATTAATGATTAATAATATAATAAATAAATTTATATATATATGTTACAAGTTAAATTTGGAATTAGTGAAAAAATACATTTAATAAAAAATTTTAACATAAAAGTTACTTATTTACTTCTAACAATTTTTTTATCCTTGTATTTTATTTTTTCTCCATAGGTGAGTGAAAACACATTTAATGTAAATGAGCAACTTGTTTGTAATAATTTGGGGCCCAACATATTTGCTTATGATAATGAAATCATGTTTCAACTGAATATTTATCCTATTAACTATAATGGGTACAATGAATCAAATGTGATATCTTCAAGATTAGCAAGTATGTTTGTTATATTAGCAATAGAGGTACAAAAATCTTTGTTGAACACTTAATTTAAATGTTGCTCCATATGTTGCTCTATAGTTTTTGTCAAACATTGGGTTGTTCGACATTTGTACTTGTAAATTAAATATATAGTGCTAAATAATATATTAAGTATTAAATAAATTGTAATATTTTTAGTATCTCTATCTTACTAATATCTTTTTTTTTTATTGCTCTCTATTATTTTATTTTTGCTATTTTTTTAAGATATTTTTCTATTGTTTTGCTTTGTTTTCATAATTTTAGTGTCAAAACCATTTTGCTATCAAATTTTTGTCAAATCTCATTACTATATATCTTTGCACTATTTAATCGCATTTTATAAAATTTTATTACTGATTTTAAGTTATTTCATTCCGAGTAAACTAAAATTTCAGGGTTTCGACATTGACCATCTCAGATTTGCATAATACTTTATCAGTTGGTTCATATCAATGAAAAGTCTGGAAAAACAAATCCTAAAAATTTCAGCTAAAAACCTTTGGTTTTTAAGACATGTTATTTGAAGTTTTTTCATTTTTTCTAATATAATCTTTAGCAGCATAATAAAGTTTTGTTTGTTCATTCTATTATTAAATCATATTATTATATCATATTATTAAATCAAATATTTACTTGGATTATAGGTTCATAGAAATCTTTTATAGAATCTCATAGAATTCTGAATTTTTTTTTGTAAAACATTAACATTGTATTTTTAAAGCCATAATCTATTCATAATGGTGCCCTAAAAAGCATAAAAAAATAAATTAAAAATGTTTTTAATGGATCAAAATACCAATTTAATTAGCTATAAGTTGTTTTTAGTTTCTATATAGTAAACTATATATGGTTCAAATTAGAATATATATATTGTAGGCTATATTTAAAGTATATTTGGATATATATTATAGGCAATATATCGTATATGTTAGGATATATATTATAAGCTATATACGGTATATATTAGGATATATATTATAGGCTATATATGGTATATATTAAGAAATATATTATCCGATGTATATTAGAATATATATTGTTGGCTATAAATCCTATTTATTGTAGACTTACTTATTTTTAAAAATCTACTGCTTTGAAACAATTTAGTAAGTAATTATGAAGTCCAAAAAATGGCTGAACGATGAACACTCCTATTGAACCACTGAAAAATTAGAATCATAAAAATGAAAATTTTATCTAATGATTTAAATGATTTCAGTGATTCTTTAAATGATTCAGTGATTCTTTAAGAGAATTTAAGAAAAAAAGATGGAAATTCATGTAAAAGTTGCAAACTCATTGATATTGAACACAAATTTTAAAAACACAAGAACTCATAACATTTGAAAACAAAATTCAAACTACAGATAAGTCTGAATATTTTTGCAAAAAGGAAACCAATAAAATTGTTTCAATGACATTTCTTGCTGTACTTTAATTTCAAATAAAAAATTATAAATCTACAGATATGTAATATCTTCTTTGTAATATCTTTATTGTAATATCTTCTTTGTTTTCATTGTTTCAGTTTGATTCAGGTTTTTATTAGACAGAAAATCTTTGTTTATAAAATTTGTGATTTTATAAACTATTTATGATATGTACCTATTGATGAATACATCATTAGGAAGAAAAATTTTTTTAATGTTGCAGTGGTGTAGTGGAAAAGCAAATGCTTGTAATATATAATTGAAAAGTAAAGGGATTGACCCCAATAAGCTTATTCTTGCTTGTACTGGACCTAACTTTTTTCTTCAAGCAACATCTTAGATTATCAATTCTTGTGTTTTGACTTTATAAAGTTGAGAAAGGGTTGATAAAATAAGAAGCTTTGTTGACTGTTGTGGCCTCTTTGAAACAAAGGAGCTGAATATTGTATATCCATGAAAAAAAGTTAAACAGGTTTTAAATAAGTTTTTTCTTTAGAGTTTGTTGGAGGACATGTCCTAGAACAAGAAATCTTGATAGGCTTGACTTGAAAAATGCTCTAATTGTATAAAAGATGCTATGATCCTAGATAACTATTCATCATAAAACCTTAAATTTGTGTTTACTACCCATCATAACCTTTAAAATTCAACTTAACTGACTAGGGAATCATAAAGTTGTTAGAGAATTTTTATCACATAAATGTTGTCAGTCATTAGATGCATATACAACATTGAGGTCAAATACATTAGTGTTGGTAAAAGAATTCTGATGATTGACACTATTACAGTGTATATTGTGTGTATTCAGTGTATATTGTGTGTACAGTGTATATTTTGATGACTGACACTATTACAGTGTATATTGAACTAGACTTTTTTTTTACCAAGCATATGGTCAAATCATGGAACACTTTAACACAAAATGCAATAAATGCAACAATATAAATAATTTCAAACATTTTAAACAATTAGAAAGCTAAAGACTGTATTTTTTTCACAGAGCAGCCTAGCATTCCTCTTTTTATCAATAAATTGTAAATTTTATTGATTGTGAATAAATTAAGTTGAATAAGTAGATGTAAAAGGAGGATTAAGTTGAATAAGTAGACGTAAAAATGAATGTAAAAGGGTCAATATTGTAGAGTAGGTACAAGTTAGGAAAACATGATGTCATCTATTTCTCAATTAGGAATCGATGAATCTCTTATTTGTTGCTTAGTTGTCATTGCTGGAGATATTGATGCATACACAACTTTGAAAGCTTGCATAGGTAAGTTTAAAGTGGGGAGGGTCTCCTTTATAGGTTTTTGCAGAAAGAATTTTTAACACATAAAAGCAAATCTAAATTGCTGCACAATGTTGAAATCAGTTAATTTATAATTTTCTCCTTTGAAAAAAAACTTGTTTACCATTTGCAAAGTCATTGTAGTTTTATAAACATCTGTCACTGTACAGTCACAGTAGCTACACCAAAATATGTTAAAAATGCATTGACTGTGTACATTATGATTATAAGAGATATTTTCTTAACAAAAAAATTAACATTCTTTGTAAAGAATGTAACTAATGTAAACAATGATTTGTTGTTGCCTAATTTTCTATTTACTTTTTAAATAAACGCAGAACTTTGTAATGTGCAACTTATATTTTAGGGGGCACATTTTGACCAGATTAGAGGGTGTGAAGGGGTATATTGCTTCCTTTCCCTGATGCTCCATGCTGACTCTAACACTCCCTAAATAGTGACATAAGAAAAAAAATTTACACATGTCTGTGTGAGTGCTTTACCGAGTGTTCCAAAACATTCACAACACTGTTACACAGATAACAGAACAATAGTCCGTTGTGTAAAATGAAATAACATTTAGTTAGAAGAAACATCTGGTGTAAAAATTTATTTATAAATTATAAATTTATAAATAAATTTATTTATAAACTTATAACTCTTTAATAATAAATTTATAAATCTTTAGAATTTTTTCTTAAACATCCCATTAGAAGGCTTCTTTTTAGTCCTCTAATTACTTTTTTTTTTTTTTATCTCTAATTTCAAAACAAATATTAAACATCAAAAATGGGAAGAGAAAATTTGAATAAAATAATACCAATGGTATGGTGAATTCGATAGCTATACTTCCTGCTCAAAAGCAAGAGGTATAGCTATCGAGGCAAATTATATTAATTAAGCAACATCCTTTACTGCTATTGCTTATAATTTTCTTCCTAATTTGTGTTTTTACTGATTCAAATCAGTTTTTTTTTTGCTTGTAAATCATGGTCTTTTCAGTACATGTGTTGCTTGCACACATACCCAACAATCCTCATGTTGCTTGCATAAAACAAAGTTATGTATATTTTTTTAAACTAATTGTCATTTACCTGTTGTTTCATATAGTATTTTTTTCTAAATCATAATTTTTTTTTTTTAGCATTTGCAAACATCGTTATTACAACCCTTTCAGTTAGTGGTCCTACTTATACCTTTAATAATAATTCTATTAAATTATTGTGGAATGCTCAATGGACTTATCCGAAAAGTAAGGCATTTTACTTAAAATAATCTAGGTCACTATGTTTTATTTAATTACAAAAATTGTAATTAAATAAAACATAGTGCTACTGTGTTTTACTAACTTAAAATTTATATTGTGTTTCTTACTTACGGAGCGCTATTAGTTTTTTAGGGCCATAAAGCAATTTTCTAGTTTATTTCCTAGCATTACTTGTGTTCTTAATCTACTTGGGTTCTTGAAGAGTAAACCTTACCAAACAGTTTCAAGGATTCACTTTACTTTTTATTGTGGAGCATAAAAATTCTTTATGGCAAACTTTTTCGGCATATTTGTTTGGATGTGAACTTGTATGAACTTTTTGTATAAAGAAGGGCTAACTTTTTTTATACAAAGTTGAGGCTATTATGATTTTCATAATGGCCTTGAAATTAGTTAAAATCATAATATATTAACTTATTTATTATTTATATCAGCTAATTGTTTTCTAATTAGTAAAAGTATTTATTCGAAATAATATAGATTTGGAAACAATTTGCAAACATGTTGAGATTAGGCGATCGTTTCAACCATTGAGTTTAAATCTTATCAAACTGTTGGGTAATAATATAAATGACCCTAGGGTTGTTGAATTAGTAAGAAATTTACTGTTTTAATTTTGCTACTAAATTTTTATCAGAATTTAAATGATGAAGATTTATTTTTTTTTATAGTTTTTTTTTATAGTTTTTTTAATAATTTTTTACTTTTGTCTTTTTGTCTTTTAGTTTTTTTTTATTTTATAATTTTTTACTTTTGCCTAGTTGTCTTTTACTTTAGTTTACACTTCTTTTGTTTCTACTTGTTGTGCATACAATATATTATTATTATATT